ACATTACATCCTCAGCATCGAGCACATTGTCAGCACTCCGTAAATATTTGTAAGTGAATGAATGATCCACAGCTTTTATTTCAGCAAACAGCTTCCACCTCCTCCTTTCTCTACCTCTCCCACATTTTCGACTAAAACTGCTGCAATTAATACAACTACCCCCTCAGAATTTAGTTTTTCCCTCCTCTCCTTGCCCAATTATAGATGTAGAGCTAATGAAGAGTCAAGTACTTCAAGAGCCACCAAGAAGGATTGAAGAGATGGAGTAACTGTCATTAACCAGCAGGGCTGATGTTTGAAGTCATTTAGACATATTTAGTGTGACATCAAGGAGTCAGTTCGCATTCTGAAAGAAAGGCGCTCCCAGCATTCTGTATTTTCCTTTGATCTATTCATATTTTACCTGGCTTCGGACCTCAAGTCATCTCAGGATTTTCTGGGACAGTTGTTCTAAAGAGAATCTCAAGATACCAACAGAAAAATTTAGGCTCTTGCTCCAATTAGGAGCTCAATGTTTAGATTGGTTCATGCAGATCAAATGATTGTGTACCTTCTAGAATTCTAAAGACTCGCTTGGCCCATGCAGTCGAGATGTTGAGTTTTGCCTGTGCATTTTTCACCTGCTTCAAGAGGGACTTTTCCAAATGTTTCATTTAGTCTATTGAAAACCGTGGTACTGCTAAATATAATAGAGTAAATATAATAGAGTAAATATAGGCCACTCTTTGCCTCTCGTTGGATTTCTTCAGTGTCTGTACATGTGAGATTATCGACAGAGTTAGATATTATTTTACAGTAGAGTTCCAGCTGTCCAAGTTGTAAATAACAGCTATGACTAACCCCATGGGGGAAGATTCCTAACAATTTTCCATGTTTTCTGTGTTAGTGACAGGTTTCATGCATACACTCTGCTATTAAAGCATTAGACTTTCTTTGATTTCTTAATCATTAACAACTTTAGCTTTGATTGCCCATGGAGCTGCAAGCTGTTAAAATGATCATTTGCCTCTTACTAATTTGGAAACCAAGAGCTGTTCCTTCATTTGATGAAGCACAGGTCTTTCTCAGAGCATGTACAGCTCAGAAGCACTAAGAATCTGCTGTCAGAAAATAATAGTCTAAAAATACTGAATTTGTAAAATAAATGGGATGAAGAGAGAAGATACTATCAAATACTAAAACGTTCAGTTCTTTAAAGGATTCAACAAAGAACTTTTTTAGTAGGAAGTGTCTGGTTTTTACAGTTTAGTGTTTAAATGGTTCTTCATGAAGAAGGCAGAGAGGCAGGAAGTCTGAAAGCTGTGTTTCAATATCAAAAGGTCAGTTGAAATTCAACCAGGGTTAACATAATGTTGAATGTCTCATGTGAGTCAGTAGAAACATGTAAGAAACATCCTGGAAAAATTTTGTTTATACGTGGCCTTTTTGAAACCATGCCCCTGCCATGCTTTCCCCATAGTAAATGCTTAGTAATATTTGTTAAATCGATTTGATAGATGTTACGATCAGTTGGTGGTAGGATAAAATGAAATATGTTCCCTTGAGCATTCATTCATTCATTCGCCACTCAGTGATATTTATTTATATTCCAAATGTAGTTTATTGGAAATAAATAAAAAATTGAGGACTTTATAAAAAATGACTTTTCTGTGATGTAATGGTTATACTTGCACAACATTGGGCTGAAGGAACTTATTTTGGGCCAAGAAGCTCCCACAGACTAGTTCTGGGCAGGCAACTCAAGAAATATCTGGGAGGCTTGTTAAGGAATTTGAATTCCTAAGCCCCATGTTAAAGACTTTGCTGGGTAGGTCTAGGGTGAGCCTAGCATTTGAGCTTTCTGAAAAGCTACCCAGATACTGATCTACGTTTAGGTTTCAGGAGCTAATATATAACATAAAGAGATGATATCATCTTTAACTGTTTCTTCCAAGAAGAATCAGTTACCACAGATACTGTCCAATCTATTTTTAATGTGGATCTTCTTGACTTCCCGTTAAACTTTCTCCTCAGGGAAGACCCAACCCTGAGGTGATGGTAGTGATAGGATATTTTCCTTAGACAGACCATCAGGAAAATGAACATCCAGGTTTCCTCTGTCCAGTGTTTCTGATTTCTAGGGCTTCTAAGTGCCAATCCTATGTCAGGCAATACGCTTGAGGATATGCCAGTATGTGACTTATTACTTAAGACAAGACAGGAAATGCAAAAATCAGCATTACCGAGGAGCTCTGTCAGAGGCTCATAGAAATATTACTCTTGTGTATGAGCCATATTCCATGCCCTTCCTGATGTCATTATGGCCCATACTGCTCCCAGACTTTGCCCCCAACCTTTCTCTGGGGAGATACAACATAAGGTTCTGGCTTATAGAGGTCCTACTGACAAGGCAATGAAAGTGAACCAAAGAGTTCAAGTCCACTGTTCACCTTGCTACGCTTATGGTTAGAATAAATCCTCTCATTTCTCAGTTCTAACTATATTTTCTTTTCTTTTTTTTTATCCTTTACCTTTCCTATATAAGATTTGTTCTTGAGTACTGACTGACCTGCACGGTTTCTCCAGAATTTACCAAGTTCCTTTTTATCTGCAAGCCAATCTTGATGTATTTTCCATCTCCTGTATAATATAGTGTACCTCTAATCAGCGCTTCCCACTCAATATCATTATTATGAATCATACATTAATTATAATGTGTTCTGATTTTGAGTGCTTATTAAAAATATCGTTTCTTTCCCTTAGGAATTTCCTCTGTCTTCATCTTTCTGAGGAAGCAGATAATTTTGCTTGCAGGCTACAGGCTTGATAAGTACTATGTGCGAGTAGATTGTGGTACAGCATCTGTCCTCTGAAAACTTACACTCTAAAAGGAATATACATCATTTCCTTTTATGGTTAAATTTTACTTGTCCTCGACATTTCTGCCTATGAAGCATGCGTCGTATACTAGATGCTGTGCAGGACAAAGGAAGCTTGATAAAGCATAGCCAGGCAAAGTCTCATAATTCCTCTCTAATACCATAGTAAAATTTAATAGAATTGAAGTGTATAGGAAATCTTTCCGTTTTCCCTTCTGTAGTGTAAATAACCATTTCTGTTTATTAACTCCACAAATCCCAAACTCCATTAGGTTAAATGAAAAAACATATTTAAACTGCTTGAGCCTGTTCTATTAGTGGTATAAAATTTCATAGCTGGAAAAAGGGGGCTAAAATCAAATGACGCCTGGAATGGGTCAATGAGGATCAGGAACTTCCCCAAGGATAAAATCATTCAAGTCTTCCAGAACAGAATGGTTGGCAACTGCTTCCCCACATGAGTACTCAAAAGTACTCGCGTCACCGAGTCTTTTTTGCCTCTCTGGGATGATTCTTTAAGGAGGAAAAAAATTTAAAAATTCAACTTTTCATAAATGACACTTAACAGCAACAGGTTAGTACTAACCCTTCTGTCATCGCTTAGTATGGCCCCAGCAGAAAAGTCCTTTCAGATTTTTTTTTCCCCAGTAAATAAAAGGATAGGTTTGAGTTGTTCGGTGTCATTAGAAAAATAACAATCGACAGCTGGGTGGCACGGGGCCATCACAAAGATGATACCACAGATGAAGTGTGGTGTTCTCTTTGCCCACCCTGTTCACCTTCTGACTTTATGTTTGCTTTTTGTAGTTCTCTGTGAGATCCTGTCACAGAAGCAGTGAATGTAAATGTCGTTATGAGGGACAGCAGTTTTTCTTGGAAGTTTTGTTTAAGTTCTAATGAACAACATTCAAGATGGAGTCATTTCCTAATGCAACCCGCGCATTGGTTTGCACGATGTCTCATCGGGTCCATTCATTTCATACCTGTCATCAGAGCGCGGGTGCCTTTGGGCGCACCCTGTTCATGTATCAGGGACATTGTTATTCATAGTAATTTCATATCAGGATGCAGTTGACTTCTGGTATTAACGTTAGAGTCTAGTGTCTGGGTGGAGAGAATATTAGGTGGTCTTGTTTATAAATATAATGAGAAATGGGGCGGGGGAATGGGAGAATAACCATAGCGTGAATGCTCTCTAGGCCCTAAGCTTATTGTAGATTTTAATCTTTTCTTATGTTCATCTGTTTTTTTTTCCTAAATTTCTAACATGAAGGAAAATAAATGAAATCTTCGAAAAAGAAGAAATGAGAATTGCTACTTATTTCTTCTTTTGTATTCGTTCATCTTAGGAGACTTGCCCAGGCTTTTTTTCGTATGTGCTGTTTCTCTCCCAAGCAGCCTTTCCTTCTCGCCTGAAGCCTGTTTTCTCTGTCTTAGCAGGGAAGTTCATGAGTTTGTATGACTAGGACCTAAAGATAAATGCATTACTGTAGCTGACTTTGATTCTTCTTATTTTTTAAATTTGGTAACCTCGGTTCATAGGTGGATTCTTGCATGTATTTTGCTGCAAGCTGATGCATACGGTCTTTGTATTTGCAGACGAGGTTAGGGGTCAATGGAGATGACTGTGTTGAGGTGCATGGGAGGCTTTAGGAAATATGAAAAAGAGTATGGTAGAGTTTGTAGGCTGAATCACGTACAAGAGATATTAATCAATTGAAAGCCATTCATTAACACTTCTCAGGCCACAGCTCCTAGATCTTATTGCAGATTAAAGTCCCAATGTACTTAAAATGTTTTCCATTGATCCATTGGCCATTAAGATTTATGTTCACACTGCGTGTCATCATAGGGATCTTAGCCACCACTGTCCGAAGAAATACCTCGTAATTCTTTTGTTCTTAAACAGATTTCTGAATTTTCAAAAATTGTTCCCTTTCCCAAATCCCCATCCCCTTTTTCTTTTCACAATTGAAAAAGTTTCTTCATCCTAACTTTCTAAGACTATCAGGGAAAGAAATCCTCCAACTATCATGAGATATTAAAGAAGATAGGGTCAAATCAAATGCCTTGGGAGTTTTGTGTAGTGTGAGAAAACGAGGAATAATTTTGTTTGTTTTTTTTCCCATCTAATATTTTTAGGTACAAGCCTATGCAGAAGGTGGATGGGGTTGCAGATGGTTTCACAGGAAGTGGTCAACAGACTGGCACATCTGTTGAGCAAACTGTAATAGCCCAAAGTCAACATCATCAACAGTTTTTAGGTATGTTAAGGTGTAATGCATAGTCTAGTTGCTATTAGGATGTTGAAAACAAGAGAACAATAGTAATGTTTTCTCCAAGTGCTATGTCTATTACAGATGTGAATTACACAGAAACACTTTTGTGTGTGTGTGTGTGTGTGTGTGTGTGTGTGTGTGCGCTGAAACTCTGCATACCATGGGATAGTTCTAGACCATTTCTACTTCCTCATGTTTACTAGAGCTTCTTTCAAAAAATCTCAAGCTGTGTAGGAGTTCTAAAGGCATGGGAATTGAAGGCTCATAGCTATGAAATTGTCTTGCGGAATTTGAATTAATTGGGCTTTCGTGATCAAAGTTGTGTTGTGTTTACTTTCAGTAGTTACCTTCACATGCCCACAAGAATTCTCATTTCCTGTGTATAAAGTTGCAAATGCATAGTCTCAGGTTAGAAAAAAAGAAATTCCTATGAGCTTTTAAAAAGTAAGTTATTCCTTTAAATTGATCACAGTATATCCTAATTTTGTAATTTTGTAGATGGTATACGTGTTGCTTGTCATTTAAAGAGTGAGGAGTGGAATTTGAGCATTCTGCGTATTCTGGTCATAGCTACCAGTGCAAAAAATGGCACTGTAATGGACAACTCTTCTATAGATGAACATGCATAGCTTCCGCACAACAGATCAAGATAAATAGAAGCTATCAAAGAGTGCGCATGTGTCTGTGTTTTGTGTGCACATATTTGTCTATGCGCACTTTCTGACAAAAACTAAAAAAGACTCTCAAGTCAGCTTGAAAACATGATGGCAGCGTTTCCCAAACTGGAGTCCTCATGTATACTCTTTAGAGCCTTGAGCTCCCAAGGAGGGTTTTAACTTTTTTATTTTGTGTTTTTATTTCAATTCGAATCTATAAAGAGATAATAAAAGCCTATTCTGGATTATCTAGAAAAGGAGAATGAATACTGTTCTGCAGTTTTAGTTGACACATTTGTATTTGACTTTATGGTAGAGCAGGCATCATGGTCCCAAGCTCACGAGAAAAAAACAGGGAGAGACTTACTATGTAAATTACATAAATGATGTAATTCATCCCAAGGGAAGGCTAAATGATGTCCCGGTGCTCTGTGTGGAGGAAAGTTCCACAGCTCGTTTGAATACAGAAGAGTAATGGAACCAGCCACCAAGAAGTACAAATTGGTATAGGCCTGCCAGGCTCAAAAGATCTGGGCCACAGCAGTCAATACCATATTCATGTTGCAAGAGGTAATTTAGTTACAGGACATCAGCATCATCCATCATATCAAATTCATGTTGTTAAGTTTAATGTGATTTTTGTAGTTTTATTTGGATTCATTCCGTAGCTTTTTTGGTTTATGATGATATGAGAAGTATGAGCATAACGAGTGTAAAGCTAGGTTTATTTTTTTCTATTCTTAAGTAATGTAATAACAAAATAACTAAAATTGATACCGGCAGCTCGAGGTATTTTCCTTTTAATAGGGGCCCTATGTTGAGAGACATTACAGTTTGTTACTTCCAGTATAATTGTAGTGAAAATTTAGTTCCTCCACAGTTTTTACATTCCTCCTCTATTCTTTTGTACTGAGGATGTTGCTACATTTTGTTTGAAAAATACTACTATGAAAAGTTCTTAATTGTTGGACCTCTGGCCTTTACATTTTCTTCCTTTCTTAGTCTATCTCATATTTCCCCTCATTAATCTGTAATTGGCACAATCCACAATAGTGTGTTTTTTTTCTTTTCTGTTGTGTTGTCATGGCAACAGATGCATCTCGAGCACTTCCAGAGTTTGGAGAAGTTGAAATCTCTTCTCTGCCAGATGGTACTACCTTTGAGGATATCAAGTCACTGCAGAGTCTTTATCGAGAGCACTGTGAGGTAAGTTTTTTCAAACACAGTAGGAATGCATGCTACTGCATTCCTGCATTCTGTAGTTCTTTTGCCAGACAACTTGCTACAACAAAATAACCCAACTTATTCCTAGAGGACAGGGGAAGTCAGTTCACACGTCTTTGAACACTGAGAAGTTCATCGTTCTTGTCTCAGACCAAAGATAGGAGGGATGCAGGAAAGGGAGAAAACATTTTACTGCCCATCTTCTTAGAGTCTCCTAATCAGAATCCTTAGACACGGCAGTTCCACTTCTAGATACATACTCTAGAAAATATGTAATATGGGTGAAGACATTATGTGTACAAGAGAACTTGTTGCGTTATTGTCTTTAGTGCAAAAGATTGGTTGTAGCTTCCACATCTAAAAGGGAACGGAGTAAATAAAGCATGGTCCAATCTCTAGAGTGGAATACTATGCAGCCATTAAAAAGAACAGACCCTTCTAGGTGTACTCATGTGGAATAAGTTACAGGATTTATTTTTAAGGGAAAAGCAAGGCGTGAAACAGCGTGTATCATATACTATCATTTGAGTGAAAAAGAACGCGTATGCAAATCTCTCCAGCAGAAAGAACAAAATGTCAGTGTATAAATGGTGGTTATCTTTGTGAAGGAAACTGGGTGACTGGGAGTCGGCGGAAAAGAACTAATTTTTCAATATCCCTTTTAACCTTTTGAATTTTACACTGTAACTGTATTTCTATCAAAAATATTTTCTGGAGAAGTGCCTTGCTGGGTCAGAAGAGTATGAGACTTTTGAGCTCGCGATCATGAATTCAAGCCCCATATTGCGTGTGGCAATAAATAAATAAGTAAACTTTTAAAAAGAGGAAAAAGGAAAAGATATGTTCTAGAAATGTTTAATGAAGCATTTTAGATGTTCCTTCCAGGGATTTTTGAGGTTCTAGTTTTGTTTTTGTGGTTAATTAAAGTTTCTCTTGGTATTTTCCATCCCTGCTTCTACTCCTTTTTCTGAGTACTCACCACCAGAATTGGCTCATTGTCTCCAGGAGGTGAACTCTCTCCAAGCCAGCGTTTTAATATACCTGCAGCTCACCTGGAGGAAAGGACATAACGGATTGCAAAAAGAATTTTCTTAAGTGCCTCTCCTTTTGAAAGAGGAGTCAGTTTAGAATTTAAGTAGCTTTATTCCGGGGCTATTTGTGATCTGCTTAGGAGTAAAAGATATTCCTTGGGGTTTCATGGGCAGTCGTCCTGACTGCTGACAATGCAGTATGCAGTGAGAAGTCTCAGCTCATAGCATTCACAGATTTTTTTTCCCACTCCAGAAATACAAACTGCTTGAGTGAATCTGAATGCTTGTCAAGGGTGCTAGATTATTAACAACCAAGGGCAAGTTCTCTCTTTATTAACAAACCATGTGCCAAAAGTGTTTTTCAACACGTCCTGCCAGTTCGTTCCCAACATTTCTTGGAATGATGAAAGACCCTTAATACGCATCTCTCTTTGATTACTGTGCTTCTCCCAACATTAGAGATTTTCTGGATGAGCCTTATGTATTTCGAAAAAAAATTCCTTCTTTGCACATGAATATCATGTATATTCAATAAAGATTTATATAAAGATTCTCTAAGCAATTCCTCATGTCTCTGTGTTCAGGTAAATCTTGCTTTAAGCAAACCAACCTACACAGATATAATATGGCTTTGTTTAAGTTTCATTTGTCAAAAATATAGATAGGAGCAGGGTTTATTTATATTACTAAAGAATGTCCAGTAAGCTTATTCTAAGTGGAAAACTCTACCAATAAGATGAAAGATAAAATTATCTTTTGGATTACAAAAATTTCATTAGCATACCAACATTCAGGAATAGTCTATATGAAGAGATACGGATGTGTATGGTAATCAGTCTTTGTGGGAAATGGCAGTCCACAGAGTCCACAGAATGATCCCCACTTATGTCAGAGTTACCAGCATTCATGCCATCTCTTGTGAGGCATGAAAAAGAAATTCCAATCATATGAAAAAGAAGAATTCCAATTATTTTTTTCATGTCAAACTATCAAACTTTTGAAGTACAGGTGTTTAGTCTCATATCCCATCCTGTAAATAGTCACTTGCCCTAAGCCAGTACAATAAGGATTATTTAAAAATACATTTGCCTATATATTTTAGTCTGAACATATTTGAAAGTAGGTGGACAAATGGTAAAATGTTTTATTCATTTGTAAAAATGTCTCAAGTGAGGCTGATGTGAATGTCCTTTTCAAAAGAATTATTTGAGATTGTTTAATTTAGAGAGATACCGAATATAAGATGCACTGAATTCTTTCCTTGCCTTATTTTGCCATATTCTGTACAGTTTATGTTTTTAAGAAAGATTAATATACCTATTTTGCCTGTTTTTTGGAATTCTCACAATTTGCTTATCAAAGCTGTTTTATAAGTATCACTAGTTTTTTTATGGAAGGCACAAGTAGAAATTTCTACACAAGTTGCTGCAACAGTAATTGGTTTTATTTTTAAAAAAGCTTAGCTTTCTTATAGCAATCTCAGAGATATGTAGGTATTATATATGATATTAATAGTTGTTTTATTAATAGATATCTCTGGGAATGTGCCTAAGGTACAACTGAGAAAGCAGTATAATAATTTGCCTCTTGGTACCTGGGTGGTGCAGTCGGTTGAGCATCCGACTCTTGGTTTTGGCTCAGGTCGTGGTCTCAGGGTCCTGAGGATCCAGCCCTGGGTCTGGCTCCATGCTCAGCACGGAGTCTGCTAAAGTTTCTCTCTCATTCCTCTTCTGCCCCTCCCTGTGCTCGCTCACTCATGCTCTCTCGCTCTCTCCCTCAAAATAAATAAATATATCTTTAAAAAAATAATAGTTTGCCCCTTGAGAATGTTTTTGCATGGGAGGAGGGACATCTGTCTGCCTTTTACTTTCAAGGCTTACACTTCCATTTCTTTTGTTCCTAATATCAAAGGGTGAGGAGTGTGTTAATTAACATACTCCCAAACATATTTTGCTTAATGTTTGACGTGGTCTCAGAGTGTGTTTATATAGAAGATCAGTTATTCTCTGTATCATACAGAGGGCCAGAGACCCACCCGGGTTTCACACTCTAGAATTGTGAAGTTACAGTTTCCTCTTTTTGCCTCAAATACCCAGATTGACTCTCTTGCTTGCCCCCTGTGGTCCCCTTGCTTCTAGGAATTTTGTAGATCTTGCTGAGGCTGTTTTACCTGTCCTTCTTCCCCGTGCTGACGACACCAAACACATTATGCTGATGACTTCTGTCTTTTATGCTCAAAATAATCACAGAATCACATGTTCTTTGCACAAACAAGTTATTCTTTGGTTTTCTGACTGCTTTTATCTGAAGACGAATTTATAAACTAATTGCGATGGCAGGGTGAAATTAAATATGATCATCAAAATTTAATGAAGGGGGCAAATTTTAGCATCATCAAAAAAAGTGTCATTGATGCAGCTGGGAAATGGTTCGAGGAGATAAAATGAAGGAGAAGGAGATGAGGGCCCTGCCCCCAAGGTTAGAAGAGGGGATAGTCTTAAAGCTGCTCTCTAAAGGGAGGGAGCAGAGGTAGGATTGAAGTGAAGGCATCGCTTGACCAAAGAGGTACCCTTTTTCTGCGCAGACGGACACTGTCCTCTGAAGGCCAGCCCCACTGTGGTTCGTGCCCCAGCCTCTGGTTGCCTGGGAACACAATGGAATCATGGTCAGCAGCCCCAGGACAGGCTCAGTTAGCCTTGACTCTTGTCTGCCCCACCCAGCCAGCTCCACACGCTTCACTTCTGCCCTCTTTGACGGCCATGGGCTCACCTGGCCCCCTGTGGCCTTTGGGTCTAAGAAGGCGAAGAGTGGCCACAGTCGTGGAGGCAGAAGGAAGCAGTGTGGGAAGGAGTGGAAGAAAAGCAAGAGAAGACAACGAATGGGGAGGAAGGGAAGTAAGCGAGAAAAAAGAGAGAGGGGTAATGCAAGGATATGAGGCCGTGATGGGGAGAATACACGTCCTCCCGGTAGTCTTCCCCGAGTTACGCTCTCCCTGCCTGAGCTCTTCGGGTTTGCGGACTTCCATTGGCAAAATGTCCTCCGGTTTCACCGTGTAACTTCCGCGCACCCCCAGGCGTCCTCACCGTTCTCTTCCCGAAGCGTGACGCGCGCCTCACACCTCCCCGACGGGAGCCTTCTAAGGTAACACTGATGACTGTTTTGGTTTTTTAGGCAATCTTGGACGTTGTTGTGAATCTTCAGTTTAGCCTGATAGAAAAACTGTGGCAAACATTCTGGCGCTATTCTCCCTCGACTCCGACTGACGGCACTACCATCACCGAATCAAGGTCAGAATCAATATGCTTTTCCAATTCATTTTCATGGCTGAGTAGATGTCACAGCTAATAAATTAGAGATATGTATACCAGTTGTGAACCTTACCCGATAACATTAAATGAAGAGATTGAGATGAACCACAAACTGCTCTCTTGAGGTTTCAGTGTGTGTGTTGTGGCTCCCATTTTGATTGATTCGGGGGACTGTGGTCGAGCTGTTTCATCCTCATGGAATGAGTATCATATCTGCCTTTCATACCGTCAGAAAGTGTTAACGTGCATAGGCAGCTCTGGGGGAGTGTTATATATATCCAGCCATGTGGCACCGATGCAATGGTGGTATCGTTCTAACCTCAGTGATATTTGATAAACTAAAACTATTTTTAAAGTCCATTTTCTTTTTTATCCTCATTTGCCATCTATTCATTTGCTACATTTATTCACACCAGCAATCTGAGTGAAATAGAAAGTCGACTTCCGAAAGCAAAGCTGATAACTCTGTGCAAACATGAGTCTATCCTGAAATGGATGTGTAACTGTGACCATGGGATGTACCAGGCTTTGGTGGAGATTCTCATCCCCGACGTGCTTAGACCTATTCCTAGTAAGTTAAATGCAGACAAGTACGGATGCTTTTGTTCTCATACATTCCACCCAAGTAGTTTGGGAAAGTGACGTTGCAATCTAGGGTGATTCTAATCTCATTTAGATTTGCCAATAAAAAGACAAAAAACAAAAACCATGCAACACAAGAGTATTGCATGAAAGCAGCCTAGAGCAAAACTGTAGGGAACAGGGAAAAAAAAAAAAGGATCTGTTCTCCAATCATTCATTTTCTTTTCGTTAGAAAAGACAACCTATAGGTGTGACAGTAACGAATTGCAAGAACACTCCCAGGCCAGGCAACCTTGTAAAAATTATTCTACCCGAGGACACAGTTTCCTTCATAAAGCCAAAAGTTTTTGAAATCTGTAATTGCTAGACCAGCCTCTTTCATGGTTGCTTTTGATTTGAAAGGAATTTATCTTGGTTTCCACTGAAGTTGAATTTCTATATAAAAGCATTTACTTTGTCCCGTCCATCATGTTGCGAACCACAAATGCAGTTTCCATTAACAGTAATGGTTAACTGGCATTGTGAGCGAAAAATCTATATATAACTACACGAGCATTGTATTCCCACCGTGAAGCAAATAGGAATTACATAGATAAGTTAGATGATTTTTTTTCAGCGATGGTGTTGATTAAACTACCTTGTAGCCAACAAAGCTATTTTCTGCAAGTGTCAATAGAAATGCTATTATGGATGCTTGTGTCCGAGGCAGTTGAAAAGATTTTATGCCAACATCTTTATGAGCACATACTAGTGACCTTAACTTTTAAAGAAGTGGGACAGAATTTCCACTCTGCAGTGACATTAATAAGGTAAAAGCAGTCTCGTAGCTCGTGAAATTGGCAACCGTGTACTTTAAGTGCACCATTCACCGGTGATTTATGTTAAATCATAACAAAATATGAAGGAGGGAGTTAGTAGAAGAAAAGGTGAAGATTTGTATGTTTATGCTTTCTTTTTTCTCAGTATGATTAACAACAGTGGAAGATATGAGTGCTTTCATATGTTTCCCACCATCTTGAAATATATGCTTAGCCACTCATTTACATATAATATCAATGGGCACGCATACACGTCTCTAGAAATAAGTTTAAAAGAAAAAGAAATCCACTGTCACTGTCTCACATTTTTATAAGTTGGCAATATTTTCCACTCTCTCTACACCATGTTTCCTGACTGACAATTGATTAAAAGTGATGTTGTCATGGAAAATTTCCATGTGTAAATTCTCTACCGATGTATGTTCCAGAGTCTCGAATTTCCTTGTTTTTGTCTTGCTCCCTCTGCTCTGAGTGATAAGAGAAGTTGCATAGGGCTGACTCCTTAGCCTGTGACATCTTTGCCCCCCCCGCCCACCCCCGCCAGCACCGTTTCTCTCATGAGATACAAGAAGAGAGGTCGGTGAGCTCTTCCTTGTTTGAGGCGAATCAACAACATCAACCTTCTTTAAACAATTCTGAAGTCTTTTGCTTCTGTTAGCACCACAGGACTTGTGAGGTCAACAGTTCCCTAACCTAAATCATGTATCCATTTTAGCCGACTCTCAGCCTCATAATTTTAAGTGCACAATACCCTTGACCTTTCTTTCTTTCTTTCTTTTTTTTTGCAAGTTTTGATTCGAAAACCAATTTATTCTGTCAAGAAGTCTATCTGTACATTTAGCAGACAACTCAAATTCAGGAATTTTCAGATGACCATAGTTTTAGAGTTTCTATGAAATTACAAGGTACATTAATGTGCTAGCCTACAAAGTACATTTGGAAAGTTAATTCTGATTCTATAACAAGACCTAACAAAATAAAGCTTAAAATATAGCTTAAATAGCTATCTTCTGATCGTGTGCATTTTAATATTAATCACAAGCAGGTTGAGACAAGTTAGCTGTGGAATAGTTTTAAATTTTAAACCATCCATTCATGAGAAAAAGTTGTCAGAGTCAATCTGCACAATTTGATCCGACACGAATTCCTATAGAGAGAGCAAACTTAATTTTATTTTTAAAAATTATATTTTCCTGGCTACTAGTACTTCACTCTACCATTTACTGTCCAGATGGGATTCCTTTTTTTAGCCAAAAAAAGTCTGCATATCACACTAATTTGAAGTCAGCTTGAAGCTACTATATTCTAAAATACATTTATCTGAAAACGAAAAACAGTTAAGTGTAAGAATTGTATAAAAACTCAACTGGTAACACTTATGTACAATTATGAGTATACGTAAAGGTGGCCGCAAATGTCATTTAGTACAAGAAAGTACGGTCATTTGATATAAAAAAAATCTTTTTATCTTATAATCTTCCCAGCATCAAATTTGTCTAGATAAAACAAGACCCATACTCAATATTTTTTTAAAGTAAGTTCTCTTAGTTCTTGGTTTTTTTATGCAGATCAAATAATTATTATATATTAATAGTAGAAAACAGATAGCCAAGTTGAATTTTGAAAAGAATTTTCCTGAGTTTCAAAAAGGGTCGTTAAATTTTTTTTCACTCTTTTTCATTTCCATTCATGCCTGCCCTCCATGGTTCTAGTACATAAGACAGCAGAAAAATATTTTTCTTTCTTTTTTTCTTTTTTGGCTCAAGTGGGAAGCTTTGGAAATTTCACAAGATTAGTTCTCAAGAAATTTCCAACTCAGCGTTTCCAGTAGATGATTGTCATGGTTAAGAGTCAATACTTCTTGAGTGTTTTTCCTAATCAAAACTTAGTCATTTCAACCTCTCTTCTGTCATTTGACCAGTTAAAGAAATGATCAAAAAAGCAGTTGTTTTTAGGATTGGGATAGTAAAATTTGTATCTTTCGCAAGCAACTTGAGCAAGCTAAATTATTTCTAACCCTGTGTTACCAAAAGTAATAGAGAAGCGTGTCAGACTCATTTGAGCACGGGAAGAAAAACCAAGAAATTTAATCCCAGCATCAACATTAATATTCTTGGGAGCTTTGGAGAAAAACGTTAACTTCCGGGTTTCTTGTAAGGAGACTCCAAATTATAATGCCTACCACATTAGAGGGAACCCACAGAGCTTGATTTCATGTTGTGGGTGTTTCAAACACTTACCTATTAAATGTCTGAAACTGCTCCCTACCCTGTGGAGCCTTGGGTACAGATGAAGTAAAATACTGTTGACTGAATTACTTGTTGAACAAGTGAAGAATTCTGTTTTTATTATACAGCCATCTCAGGAGGCAGGTCCCTTCTTGGAAAATACTTGGAGTCATTCCTGATAACTGTTGATGCTTCTAGTCATTTTCTGACCACCATAAAAGCTACTCTCGTGGGGCCTAGTCCTCTTTCAGATCTTAACAGATAGGTGAAGAATATGGAATGGAATATTATAGGAATATCTTCAGAATATTGGTCTCTTGGACAGCAATTTTATCACACTGATCTTTTATCTCTACCTACCAAGTGAAATGGAGAATAGTTGTCCAAAATTTTCAAGTCAGGCAATTTTAATTTTTACCTTACTTTTCAATAAGAGTAAGAGATAACTAATTAATATGTTCTAGCACAAATAGGTGTGTAGAGAAAGGGAGAAAGCTTTGCATTGTTTTCTTTTTAACTAAAGAAAGGAAAATAGATTTAGAGCTTGAAAAAGCAGGATGAAGAATTCATAAAGAAAATATTTAGCCCTTGAGCATAAAGTTGCTAACAAAAAGAGTGTTTTGTCTAAGGTAGAAAATTCCATAAGTATATTCACAACTGGTATATGTTGCTGTAAGCAAAAATGTTTGAATGTTTTCATTTCCCAACAAAGTGTCATAAATATCTGGGAACAAAACAACTTTAAAAGGAAAAAAAAAAAAGCCCAAAATACAATTCTTGGATGCTTTCAAAGTTAGGAATTATGTTAAAAAAAAAAAAGTCTCATTAATGAGGACAGTATAAGATCTGTGCTATTTCAGATGTCATGCATGCATGTTTTCTCTTCTCCTGGAATAAAGATTAATGTCCTTTGGTGTCCTTTTCGTTCTGCTTTTATTCTTCAACATTTAGGTGCCTTGACCCAAGCCATTCGAAATTTTGCAAAAAGCCTTGAAGGTTGGCTTTCCAATGCCATGAACAATATCCCACAGAGAATGATACAAACCAAGGTAAGTTTGTATGTGTTTGATTTTTCTTCTGTTTTTAGGAAACTGTTCTGAGCTATGAATTTTAGATCTGTCCTATTAAATGGTATCATGTACAATGTTGGTATCAGAATATATTGAACTTTTCAAACCGATTTTTTTATTTGTGCTTTATAACCATGTAATCAATACTTGCACAAGAGATGTTATTTGATAATGCTCCTTTTGAAGATACTAGAGAAGCATTTTAATTGTGGTGTATTTATAAACCCTTTTCCAAAGTATATATTTCAGATTGCTTAATTTCAAAAATGAAAAAGAATAGCCCAGAATGTTCAAATAGTTTTCACTTGAGGGAGTTCTAGATTTTTTTTTAACTCCTGAACTATACTTATAATGTGAAACGTTCATGTAAATTAATATCCTTTTGATTTTCAGGATTTTTTTTTAAACACAGGAGAATGCTTTTGTGAATCGGGAATCATTTCTTAAAGTGAGCAGTTATCTCATAATTGATCAGTGTTTATCAGGAATGTGGATTGTTTAGGTATAGATATGAATTGTGATCTCCAGTTTGTCCCCTGCTCCCCTTGTTACTTTAGGTTAATTTGTGAACATATCCTATGGCAAGATCGGACTGATTCTGTGTAAACTTTGTACCAAAAATTACATTCCTGGCTTTTTCTCAGTGACTATGTCCACTGTCAGACTTTAGCCATACACCTTGTCTTTCAGTTTAGGGACACAGTTGATAGGTTTAAGTTCTTGTAGCTGACAAGTTTTTTTGGGAACACAAGTCGCTCCCAGTTCCTTCACTTTGATTTAAGATTTGCAGTAACACTTTCCAAAACATACAGAAAAAAACAAACAAACAAAGAAATAAAACATACAGAAGGAACATTTCATTGATATGCCCACCTTAGATTGATGCTCCAAAACTATGCTGTCAGTGCCGTACGGAGAGCCACAGTGGCTATTTAAATTTGAATTTGAAATTTAAATTAAATGAAAATTTTAGTTCTTCAGCCACACCAGCTAGCTATGTTTCAACTGTACCACAGCTCCATGTGGCCAGTGGCTACCATATGTGGCAGCACATATATAGAGTATGACCATGATTGCAGTGGCAGCACATATATAGAGTATGACCATGATTGCAGAAAGTTCTAGAGTGTCACATTGAAGTGGGCAAAGAAAGGAGGTACTGTTTGGTTATGATGGTTATAGGAATGCTTTCCAATTTGCAAAGTCAGTCATATTCACATTAATACTTCAAACAGCTAAAAGCACCTTCCTTCCCAGTATTATTGAAGTGAATGTAGTAGCAATCTAACTGCAATATTGGCCAATTTCACTGGTCCCCAGAGTTGATTTGGATGATCTACTTTGGGGGAAGGTGTCTTCTGCTTTTCTCCTGTCACTGATGTGCAGCCTGTTTTCAGCTGAGCACTCAATCAATGAAAATAATCTACCCGACAGAGGAAGGAGCCTAATTTAGGTTATGACTGACCCTTGCTGTCAAACATATCCCACCACCATAACATAGTTTCTGTGTAACCTTGAGCCAGCTACTTAACCCCTTTAAGTCACAATGTGTGTCTCATGTGATGGTTATGAGAATTCAGATAATATATATGAGGCACTGAACATGGCGTCTGGCACATAGTATGTCCTCAATTATTATAAACCACAGAAATGGGGGAAAAAAAAGTGTAAGACCTCTTCCAACTTCCACGTAGTCCCAAAACATCTCACTATTAAGACAGGGCATCCTTTGACCTTTGAACAACCTGTATGGGACTGTTGAATCACCTGCTTCTTACATACCCATCGTGATTTAATGGCATCCCATACATTCCTATAAATATGTTAAAATGCTCATTAGATTTACTGTGCATGTGACAGATTTCCATGAGATCATAGACTTTTATTTTTTTACATTATCTTTGCTATCTTTCATTGTAACCTGTTTCATTGAGGGTCTCAGCAGGAAGTGAATGGTATATCCAAAGGGAGAATAATTGAAAAGAATTTAAGAAGGGCCTATTCCCCAAGATGTGAGCAGAGTTAAGAAAACCTGGAGGAATGGTAAAGCACCCTGGGACTAGCAACACTGGGGAGACCTGAGTCTCCCTAGATCTGAAGAGGAAAGAGGTAAAAGCTATGGCTTTAGATTATCTCCTTCCCTCGAGGACTGTGGCCTTCGTCCAAGAAAGCAAGCTTTGCCAAAACAGGGAGAGAGCAGAGGTTGTACGGCAATCAATACTTTGAACACTCTTTTTTACCCTATCCATCTGTCTCCTCCCACTGCCTATCGGCCAAACCCAACTGGAAGCCAGAATATAAGGGAAGTGGTTAACGTAGTCCACTCAGGGTAGTCTTCCTGGGCAGGGCAGGATAGAAAAGGATGGGAAGTAGATGTTGAGGAGCAAATGGAGAAATCCTGGATGGCTCTTGTACCTAAATTCAGATCATGAGGAAGAGTTCTTGTTGCTGGCATCTGTAAGTTTATTGGCTATGTATTTGCTAATATTAACACCTCCTATAAAATAAAAGGCAGTAAGAGTGAATCTGAATGACAGTGCTCTGAAGAGTACATATATTTTGTATCCATTTAACAAAGTGAGATGGTACATTTTGGTTTTCCAAATAAAAAGAAAAAAAGGTGTTCACCGAGTTTGTATCGACTGTCCTACAGAGAGTAAAAAAGAAATGAAAATCAACATTTTTCCTGCTCCCCTAGACAAAGTCATTTCTTGCAAGACTGGTTTAATTAATGCTGCACTCAGATGTCGAAGAACATGGGAGTTTGTTTTAGTCTTGACCTCTACCTACTCAAAAGGAAAGTAATACTTGGTTTCGAGATTTAAAAGCTGTAATTTACAAGTAAGCTCTCACACGAAATGAGTTCAAAATAAGTATCAGAGGGAAGCATTTACAATTTGGCAAGGGAATAAAGATTTGAAGATTGCAGTGGTTTCTTTTGCTGGAGGAAAGCTACCGGTTTTGATGGGATTTCTTTCTAGGTTGCAGCTGTAAGTGCCTTTGCCCAGACGCTGCGAAGATACACATCGCTCAATCACCTGGCCCAGGCAGCTCGTGCAGTGCTCCAGAACACGTCCCAGATCAACCAGATGCTCAATGACCTCAACCGCGTCGACTTTGCCAACGTCCAGGTACTCTGTACTCTGCTTTCTTTCAAAATGTGTCTTGTAAGGAAAGATGCCCCATTTTTTTCTTGTTCATGAGGATCGTCCTATTTCTTTCCTAAGTTTCATCAGTGCACAGATAGCATCTATGTTCCTGGTGTCCTGAAAGAGCAGAGTCGGACTCCCCCAGGACTTTACTGAGCCTCTGTTTTAAAGTCCGTTTCATGGTTTAAAGTCTGTTTCATGGTTAAGATGTATTGTATTCAATGCAACATTATGTCTGCAGGGTTTGCTAGTTAATGGAGTCGGGACAGTCACAGTCATGGAAGTTAGGTAGGCAAGAGATTAAACTCTTCCATTTGCTAGCTGTGTGATCTTGGACTAGTTGCTTAACTGCTCTGGGCTTTCCTCTTCTCACCTTCTAACACCTAGCTTAGATTATTGTTGACATATTTAGGAATACATAAAGTTCTTTGCACTATAACACACAAGAGATATATGTTTTTAATAGTGCCCTACCTTGGGGCTCCTGAGGGGCTCAGTCATTTAAGCACCTGCTTTTGGCTCAGGTCATGATCCCAGCCCCTCATTGGGCTCCTTGCTCAGCGGAGAATCTGCTTCTCCCTCTCCCTCTGACCCTCCTCCGTACTTGGGCTCTCTCTCTCACTCTCTCTCTCTGTCTCAAATAAATAAATAAAATCTTAAAAAAAAAGTAGCGCCCCACCTTGAAAGAATAAAGAACACTTAGAAACTCTATTTCAGAGTGCCTGGTAAATATTTGTTCATTTGAAAAGAATTAGGAGCAATATATTTGGCTATTTTATTCATCCAAATGAAAAAAAAAAGTATTTTAACCTTGAGATCAAACTATTTACTTGTATTTTAAAGTACACTTAGAAAGACAGCCAACTTAGGAATATTATTATGAAATCCCACAAATATTTTATTTCAGATACTAAAGTAATGAAACTAGTTGTTACCATATAAAAATAGTACATTGCTCAAAGTACAAGCAACAAAAGAAGGAAAAAGTACATAAACTGACCATGATCAAAATGAAAAACTTTTGTGCTTCAAGAGACCAGCAAGAAAGTGAAATGACAACTAATAGAATTGAGAAAATTTTTGCAAATCATGTATTTGATAAAAATTTATATCTAGAATATATAAAGAACTCCTATAAACCAATAATAAAAAGACAACCCAGTTTGAAAAGAGCAAAGATCTGCAAAGCCATTTTTCCAAAGAAGATAGACAAATAGCCAATAAGCCTCTGAAAAGATAATGAAAGTAATTAGCCACCAGGGAAATGCAGCTCAAAACCACGGTGGGATATTGCTTCACACACACTAAAATGTGTATAATCAGACAGATAATCGCAGAAAGAAGGGAGTTAAAAGTGGAATATGCTACCTTAAGAGATTACTGATTAAAATGAATAGTATGAGAAGTAAGACCAAGACATAGGGGGAAATGAAGGGCACTCCACTGAACCCTCACATACTGCTGATTAGAATGTAAAATGCAGTCACTTTGGAAAACAGTCTGGTAGTTTCTCAAGAGGTTCAACATAGAGTTACCATATGACTCAGCAACTTCACTACTAGGTACATACCAAGAGAAATGAAATCATGTCCATATAAAACTTATACATGGACGTTCATGGCAGCATTATTTGTATTTGCTGCATGAAAATGGAAACAACCCAAATGACCCTTAACTTATGGGTACATAAACACATCCACACAGTGGAATATTATGAAGCAATAAAAAGAAATGAAGGTTTGACACCTGCTACGTTGTGAATGAACCTTGAAAACACTATGCTACGTGAAAGAAGCCAGACACAAAGGGCCACATAGTGCACGATTCCTTTTTTTTTTTTTAAAGATTTTATTTATTTATTTGAGAGAGAGAGAATGAGAGACAGAGAGCATGAGAGGGGGGAGGGTCGGGGGAGAAGCAGACTCCCCACCGAGCAGGGAGCCCGATGTGGGACTCGATCCCGGGACTCCAGGATCATGACCTGAGCCGAAGGCAGTCGCTTAACCAACTGAGCCACCCAGGCACCCTGCATGATTCCTTTCATATGGAATGTGCAGCATAGATAAGTCTATAAGAGACAGAAAATAGGTTCGTGATTGCCTGGGTTCTGGGGACTGGGAACTGAAAAGTGACAGATGTGTTTCGGGGCGTCCTTTTGGGGGACATGAAAACATTCTAAAATTGTGATAGATGCACAACTCTGAATGTTCTACAAGAAGCCATTGAATGATATATTTTAAATGAGTTAATTATATGATATGAGAATTTTATCTCAATAAAACTTAAAAGAAATCAATGCCTTTGCTTTAAAATAAACCACTAATTACTCCTGTTTCCTAGAAATTTTAATCTGTAGTTCTGATCTAGTTTTGTCATTTAATTATATCAAAAATAATATTTGGGCCTGATTCATTTTGGGGTATAGTAATTAGTTAAGTTCATTCTGACTTTCACGGATTGGGCTCAAACTCCTGGTTATGTGAAATCTTAAAAAATCTGCCTCTCTATGTATCTATCTATTTGTCTATGTACAAAAACGTATAAATACACAGATGCAAACACAAAATGTTTATAAGAACAAACTGTCTCCGGCTTGCAAAGCCATTAACTTTACATAGTTCAATGAAATTTACGTTAACTGATTTTAGTGAGAATACTAGAAGTTCATATTGCCTGAAAGTTTATCCTGTAATGTTTCTTTCCATCTTCGTTCGGAAGAGGTACTTTGAAAAGCACCATTAGTGCACCGTTAGTGCAACCTGTGTCCATAACAGAAAATATAAAGAATAATTCCTAATACTGTCTGAGAAAGGTTTTCTGTTGTGTTTGTATACATGTGTATCTGGGACCCTGGGAAGTATTTATGCAAATGAGTTTCTCCAGGTTATAACCGCTGACCTTGAGGACATCTTTGCATTTAAATGGTGGATTATACCTCTGCTCTTCTCATCCTCCCCCCACCAACTGAGGCTCCCTTTTCCCTTCCTCTGGAGTTTCCCTGGGTGTGCGTGACAGTTATCAGTGCTGAAACCTCGGTGATTCACCACCTGTCCTCCGAGACCCTTTCCTTTCCCCAGAGATCCAGAAGCACAGTAGTGTGCCCTCTGTTCCACCCCCCCGCCCCGACACCTTCCTTCTCACACTGTGTTCATTTCAATCAGGAATTAATCTCTTTCTTAGGGTATCGCACGTCCTGCCTTTGACTGCCTTCTTTCCTTACTTTTCTGTTTGGAGATTTGCTCGGTTTTTGTAGAGTCCTCTGGAGTTCTCCACCTTCTTCTTCCCTCCTTCCACTTCTGTCACCCTCTCCTGTTCATCTGGAAGTTGTCCCTTTTGAAAAGGGGACCTCAGTAACAGGGACACGTGTGAGCGTGGTGCTCTTGCAATAAGGAGACTTTAATGTAAAACAATGAGTTGACACTTAATTGTCAATAGTATAATGCTCTTCAGAGCTTGAAAGTACTAAAAAGTTTCCTTCAGGATATCAATAAATCTTTTTCACCACCTCTTCTTAACTCTTTTTTTGCTCATGCATTCAAGATACCCTATCTAGGGACTCCTGGGTGGCTCAATCCATTAAGCGTCCGACTCTTGATTTCGGCTGGGGTCATGATCTCAAGTTGTGAAATTGAGCCTTGAGTCCGGTTCTGTGCTCAGTGGGGAGTCTGCTTGAGATTCTCTCCCTCTCCCTCTGCCCTTCCGCCTACTTGTGCTCTCTCACTCTCTCTCTCAAATACATAAACAAATCTTCTTTTAAAAAAAGATCGTCTTTCTACAGCAGTATAATTGGTTTTCTGTTTTATTTAATTGATAGCATTGCAGGGGTATTGTTTTTGTGTGTAAATGGAGAGTTTCTTACCAACATTAAGGGCAAATAGGTTTGGTGGGTTGACCTGATAACTTACCCATTGTGTGTTTGCTTATTTAAAAGACATTCCGATGATGATGCTACCAACTCCTTACCATTTTGGATATAATTTAAGAACATCTTTAATGTTCATCTTAGCTTTTTCCATTTATAGAGCTGAAATGTCCAAATTCCTTTCACAAGGGAATATTTATAGTGTACTCTATTGTTAGTATATTTTCAATCTCCAGAGTAGGTAAAATGATACATAAAGTAAAGTAATCTGAAAAGCCAGAATAATGTCCTTTGGTTTTATTTCTCTAAGTTAGTTTTCAGTTCCGATCATCCTCTCTTTCCTAAAACTAACTTCCAAGTAAATAGTGAGTTTGAATTTATGGTAAGAAGGGAAATTAAATTCCTCCAAAGATACCAGTGAGCTCCTCCTACCCATCCCCTCACTGGTTATCAATGCACAAACAAACAAAAAACAACCCTCCTTACAGTGAGCATAGAGTTTCAGTTTTGCAAGATGAAAGAGTTCTAGGGATTGATTGCATTATAAGGAACATATAGTTAACACCCCTATACAAAAATGGTTAAGATGATAAATTTATGTTATTTGTTTTTTACCACAATTTTCAAAATGCTTAGATATTAATGAAGAAAAACAAAAACAGCCTTTCCTATCCTTTCCTTGATGCCTAAATTCTTCCCTGGGTACTCTCCTGGACTCTTAATATAAAATTCCAGAGTCATTTGACAGTGTATATTGAAAGAGTTTAACTATTCTTCTTATATAATTCTATCATAAAGGAGCAAGTGCAGAATTTGCAAAGATGTAGCTTCAAGATAGCTAATTCCAGCATTCTTCCTAATAGTAAAACATCTTAATGAACAGGAATGTCTAACTGTATGGAATTGGTTATGAAAACCATGGTGTATTCACGCATTAAAGCAAATTCAGTCATTCAACAATAAATATAGCTCTACATTTGCCTACATGGAAATTCAGTTATCATATATAGGTTAAGAGAAACTAAGCAGAATTTCTACTCGAATGTATAATATGATACTTTTTATTTTAAGTATTTATATATGCATAAGCACATAGGGCATGTGAACAGTTTGAAGGTTTATGCATCAGCATGTTTTAGTTATCTCTTAGTGTTGACATCTTAGATATTTCTAATATTTTGTTCCTTTGTGCTTATTTGTATTTTCAGTTTTTTCTATAATTCTATTTTAGTGTACTTAAAACTTTGAAAGTGATACTTAGGAGGTAAATCTGAAAGACTTTATGGTTAATTAGATCAGAGAAGGATAGTGGATGGTGTCTTCTGTTGAAAATTGAGAAGAAACTGTAGGTTTCCCTGGGGAAATAAAATAAATTCAGTTTGGGCATTTTGTATTTGAAATGCCTCCCAGTTGAAATGTCTCTTGAATAGGTAATGTCTACACCATCAGAAAAGACGCTGGAACCAGAGAATGAAGATGAGGGGTTTATTCAGCTGAAACTGTCTGTGTGAATGGACTTGTCCTCTGAGAGCTCATGGCATGGAAGCCATACACACTCTTTCCAGAAAAATACACACATAATCACGATGTTTTCGAGGTAGAATTAGGACCTTCACAGACACCCCTCCACAGGAGCTTATCTTGAAAACATTATCTGGATGCAGTGATCCCAGTTTAAAAATTCTTACCACATCACATATTCTCTATTTTATACCTCCGGAAAATGAGGCCCACATGGATCACATGAGTTGCTTGAGGTGGGTTTAGCTGATGGATGCCCTGTATTAAAATCCATGTCCTCTGACTCTCAGTCAAACATTATATTCCTAAATAATTATATTTTGACCCTGAGAGTGTATATTTTTTTAATTTTTAAATTAAAGCTCGTTCTTGTGCTCTCTCTCTGACAAATAAATTGATAAAAATCTTAAAAAAAATAAAATACAACACAGCCCTGGAAAATGTCACAAAGCTTAGAGCAACTACTGAAAAGTAGCTTTAAAAGTTTCTGTTCCGATTGCTGTTACTGAACTGAAACTTCCCAGTGAGACACAGAAGGAAAACTGTCCTAATTGAATTCCTAGGCAGGTAGATGTCTACCTTTTCTCGAAAGTAGTTTTGTGGTTGTCATGACTGTTGTTTTCAGTTCTGTGAGTTAATTTGCATTCATACCCTTGCCTTGATAGCCCTTGAGATTTCAGTTCCCAATCCACAAAACTTATACATTATATGCTCCTACCTAGTACCACTCAGGGCTTATTTCTCTTTTAATCCTAGGGGACCACTTTTGGCCAATTGAATCTGTTTCTCCATCTGACTTACCCTAAATCTTCTCAAACGGATTGGCCTTAAAGTTTTATCTGATTGAGGGATCGGGGCGGGGGGAGAAAAAGAGAGAGAGCGAACTTTTGAAGGCAGTATAAAAACAAAAGAAGAAAGACCCTGCATAGTATGAGTTAGCTTCTCTTTTTTCTTAGATAATCGTGTATTTGAGTCCTTCACACAGACTAGCTAATGTAGAAAAACCAAGTCACACTTACTTGCTGCCTCTCATTTTCAGGCACAGAGGGGATGCTGGTTTTCTTAACGACCAGCAAGTAGTCCTTTGTTTTCTTAATCCATGTCATTGTTGGAAGCTGTCATTATAATTTCCCTTTCGTGCCTAGGGTCTGCATGCTGACATTCAAGGGAAAGATGCTGAGTTGAAGTTTCCCTTTGCTTTCTGTGTCCCACCCCAGGAGCAGGCTTCTTGGGTTTGCCAATGTGATGACAACATGGTTCAGAGACTAGAGACAGACTTCAAGATGACCCTCCAGCAGCAGAGCACCCTGGAACAGTGGGCTGCGTGGCTCGACAATGTGATGATGCAGGCGCTAAAGCCCTACGAGGGAAGGCCCAGTTTTCCTAAAGCTGCCAGGCAATTCCTGCTAAAATGGTCTTTCTACAGGTACTGTCTCGCTCTTTATTTATTGCTCATGTTCTGCAAATAGGTGTGCGCGCCTCTCAGACAGAAGGAAAAGAAAAGAGTGGAGACTTCGTTTAGAAACTCCCCGTTGCGATTACCTGCAGCCCACCTCGGTGATTCCAGCATCATGGAATCGTACCAGGAGGTTTATGGGAATAAACTCCCTGTTAGGGAAACGAAGCCTCTTGCTTGAAGCCCTGGAGCTTTCAGATGGGAGCGTTTCAGGTGCCAGTCTAGGTGATGTGTTCTGCAACAGTCAGAAAAGAGCGCAGCACCCCCCCTCTTGCAAATGTACATTATTTGGCCTTCTTTCTTGAAGACTTAACCCCACCCCCCTCTTGACGCGCTAGTGCGGGTGATTGGCAAACTGCGGTCCCTAGACCAGGAGCATCACTTTCACTTGGAAACCGTGTTACAAAAGGGGATTGTCAGGCCCCTCCCCCAAATCTACCAGAATCAGAAGCTACAGAGGCTGAGCCCAGCGATCTGTGCTTTTAAAGAAGCCTTTTAGGTGATGGTGACGCATGCTCAGAACCATCTAGTTCATTTCTTAATTTTATCAGCTACAACTGTTTTCAAACCTAGCTGTACATTAGAATTAGTGTAAAAACAATAAATATCGTAGGAACCTCCCCAAACCCTATGGATTCAGAGTCTTGGTGGGTGGGCAGCAGCGATTAGGAATAGAGGTAATCAGAAATTTTGTCTTCAGAAAGCTTCCTCATGGCGATTCTAACGCATAGCCAGTTTTAAGAACCAATAATCTAGTAGACAGTACGATATGAATCCCTAATTGACTAAAATAATATAGATATAAGTGTATGTTTTTATCAACATGGAACCTGGAAGAGAAAGCCTTTCAGGTGACATGCAAGGTTGGGATGAGTTGTTGACCGTAGGTCTGCCTCAAGGGTTAAAAACAGAGCCTGTGTACCTAGGCTTATATACCTTATATACACAGGATGAAATTGAGAGATGGGGTTTCATTTCATAATATGAATTAGGTAAGTTATATTTTTGACCCTGCAATTTTTTCTTGTGGTGGGTATTTGTTTTTTTTTTTGCTTCTTTGGATGAAGGTGTCCCCACTGACTCAGGCGTAAAGGCTGTATGTATTTTGGGGTGTAGGTAGCTCCTAGTTTAGATCCTGTGCAGCCATGCACCTATCAGAAAGTAGTGACCACAGGACATTCGGCACAGCGGCTGTGGGCACATTATGGTCATCATCTAGACCTTGGTGAGTCCAGAGCTAGTTGTGCGGAGAGAAGGCCTATGAATAAGTCATAGAGTTTAGGAACTGGTTAAACCAGAAACCCAAACTGTAAGATTTCCATCTTCTTTTGACCACTTTCATGAAGATGGAACCAGAGATCTTTTAATTATGATGATAGCTGCTTTGGTTTTTACTGTGATTTCTTTCTTTCCACTGATTTTACTTGATTTCATCCAATTCTTATTTCTTAAGCTGAAGGAGAGCGCCAGCTCCACTCTATAAGCTTAGAGTTAATTTCATCTTACATAATAGTTTTCTGATGTCTCGCGCAGGGTCAGAGGCAGTGAAGGAAAGCCTGCCTGCTTTGTATTATTGTTGTCTTGTTTTTGTTTTTGGGCTGGAGTAGTTCCACAGTTCTGTCTCTCCTATATTTGATACTTTTAGCCCGCGGGATTTGAGAAGGGCCTTACTGAAATGCTGCCTGACTCAGTGACCCCCCTCATATGCTGCAGTTAAACCAGTGCTAGGTTTAGATCTGGGTGTAAGTGAGGAAGATGTTAATGAGACATGTAGGTTTTCCCTGGATACGTGGGGAAGATTTGGAAAACATTGTCACAGTGTCTCAAAGAAGCCAAAGCAACAGTGAGGGTAATAGTAAGAATTCAGAATTTTAATTTGGGAACATTTCTTTAGAAGATTTCAGATACTTTCCCATTTGCTTCTCAGCAAGTTATACAGATGGTATATGTATTTCATGAATGATCAGCGAAACCAAAGTTATACAAGCTGGTTGTTCCAAAACCTATACAGCCAAAAGCAGCGTGCATTCTCTATATCTAAAAACGCAAGGTGTTTTTTTTTTTTTTTCCTTTTTTTTGCTTTTTTTTGTTTTTATTTCAGAGTTTTCCTCTTTCTTTTTCCTGTGGTTTTTTTTTTTCTATATATAGTTGATATCGTTTTAGAAATATACCCCTAGAGCCTCCATCTCCACAGAGATCTGTTGCAACTATCTTGAAAGGAGAGAAAATTACTTACTTGTATTTCTTGTTCTCTGCAGATATACAAACCCAGTAGATCATCACTTGCCTGCCCTCTGTCTTCCCTGAGTCGGGGATAATTGGCTTGTTATTATTAGATGCTATTATGGTTATTATTTTCATTTCAAAAAGACTCAAAGGCAGATCGTTCAGGACCACAGAAGGAAAGGCATATTCAGACAGATGCATACCTCCTGCTGGTAGGAAAAGTCCAGAGCTTAGAAAGGGAAGAGCCTTTAAAAATCTGAACTGTTTTTTACTGAGGCATAAGAACATTTTAGGTAATGAAAACTGCATTCAAAATTATCAGAGAGGCGGAACTACAGAGGTGTTTTGTTTTTTTTTTTTCACGGTTCTGGAATTGTAATAAGGATTTGTCAGTCACATACACAGACCCTTCATGTTCTGAAGCCAGGTGATCTCATAATTTCTAAAATTCTGTGTACATATTTACATGCATACAAAGAGAGAAATGGGCTGGTGGAGAATTGTGACCATAGTTGACACCTTGTTGCAGACATGCTCTGCTCCAAATGGGGGTCTCTCCTGGCCTAACCTGGCTTTCAGTGATGCCAGTTGGCTCCCCGGGAGGTGGGAAAAAAATATTACTACCTTGCTTGGGCAGACATTGAGAAGTTATGTGGGCCATTTCTCAGCTTGTGTGTTTTGTGGTTAACAGAACAGAACATTCCTCAGAGCCACCCTGAGGGTCACCCAAATATCCTGTTTTTAAAGAACAAGACTTAGAGCTTTGATACAGTGACTTGAAAGGGGGTACAGGGAATGTAGTTTTCCTACAACTGGACGATTTATAAATCTTCCAGAAAGTAATGTTCTTTTGGAGTAGACTATAAGCACTGTTTGAAAAGAGAGTTTGTTTGGGGGTCACAGGTGTGACGCTGTCCCGTTTCTTCTCAGGAAGGGTGTGACATATCCCCAGATACACAAAGAGGTGGACTGAGTATCATTTGTTAGGGTATATGTTTCAGCTTCCAGACCCTAGTTATAAAGATAAATACACGAAGGGTCTCTCATCTGTTATAAAATCATTAACTGGAGAACTCTGATTTTAAAAGAAGTTGAATTTGGGTGCCTGGGTGGCTCAGTTGGTTAAGCGACTGCCTTCAGCTCGGGTCATGATCCTGGAGTCCCGGGGTCGAGTCCCACGTCGGGCTCCCTGCTCAGCAGGGACTCTGCTTCTCTCTCTGACCCTCTTCCCTCTCATGTTCTCTGTCTCTCAAATAAATAAATAAAATCTTTAAAAAATAAATAAATAAAAGAAGTTGAATTTATGGTAACTTAGCAACATGAAATCCAGTGGAGTCTGTTTTGCAACATACCTTACAGAAGTCTGAATCAGACAAAAAGTTTCCAATTAAACCGTTAATTGTGTCATTTAATACTTGGCTTGTAGGGCAAAGGCCCAATATAGAGAAGATACTAAAGGGGACATAGCATTAATCATGCAATTCAACTGATGCTTTTCTAAACCTACGACAGTAATTTCATGGCATGCTTATCAGTATTTTGTAAAAAATAACTAGGGATTATAACGGAAGGTCAGCAGATTTTTGTTTTGTTTTCCAACAGATTTTGGTATTACGTGTGTGTTTTATGCTGAAATAAGATGATTGCCTAACTGTCTAAAAGTTTCCAAAACACTCAGAATAAAAAACAAGGCCTTGTCATGGCCTATAACACCCAACATGGACCAGCCCGTAGTGACCCCGAGCCCATTGTGTCTTCGTCTCTTTGCTCCCTGTCTTCCAGCCGCACAAGCCTCCCGGCTGTTCTTTGAGCATATCAAGCGTGGTTCTGCCTCAGAGTCCTTGTGTTTGCTCTCGCTTCTGCCAGGAAAGCTCCCATGTCCACATGGCTCACTTCAACCCAGTTTCTACTCAGTTATATCTCCTTTTCAGAAAGAGTTTACCTGACAGCCTCACTTAACTTGCCTGCCCCCATCACTCTCTGACCGCTTTCCCTGATTTATTTTTTTCCATAGGATTTATCACGACCTCGCTTTATATTTTATATCTACTTGTGTTTTTTTCTCAACCGTTTCTCTTACTACAGTGTGAGTTCTGTTGATAGCAGAATTTCCTCTGACTTGTTCTGGAACAAGACCCTGGCACAGAGTAGGAATGCAGTAAACCTCTATGGAGTGGATGAATGTAAATTCTCTTGGAAAAAAACAATGGGCTCTGCATATGTCTATAGTAATGTCAGAAAGCTACTCAGTATGAATACTTTCCTTAGTCATTAACACGATTTCAGAGTTTTTCTATCTTAGGGGAAATATAAAGGCCTAAAACTTGAACTTAAAAAATATATATGTAATTCATCCTGTATCTGTGATATTTATCTCTGCAAAGATTTATTGACATTCAAATGACCCAGAATTGTTTCTTTATATTTATAATGTCATCTATTCAAATAAACATATTTTAGGGGCGCCTGGGTGGCTCATTTGGTTAAGCATCTGCCTTCGGCTCAGGTCATGATCCCAGGATCCTAGGATGGAGTCCCATATTGGGCTCCTTGCTCAGTGGGGAGCTGGCTTCTCCCTCTGCCCCTCCCCTCTGCTCTTGCTCTCTCTCTGGCTCTCTCCCTTTCTCTCTCAAATAAATAAATAAAAATCTTAAAAAAAAAATTAAAAAAAAAACATTTTTTAAATGAAATCAGTATGTGCTCACTTTAGAAAATCTGCAATATATTACAAATAACAAGGAAGGGCACCTGGCTTGCTCAGTCGGCAAAGCCTGCTACTCTTGATCTGGGGATGGTAAGTTCGAGGCCCACATTGGGTGTAGAAATTACTTAAAAATAAAATCTTTTTTTATTTTATTTTTTTTAAAGATTTTATTTATTTATTTGAGAGAGAGAGAGAACACGAGTGAGGGGAGGGGCAGAGGGAGAGAACATCCAAGCAGAGTCCTGCTGAGCATGGAGCCCAACGTGGGGCTTGATCCCACAACCCATGAGATCAGGACCTCAGCCGAAACCAAGAGTTGAACACTTAACTAACTGAACCACCCAGGCGCTCCAAAATGAAGTTTTTTTTTTAAGATTTTACTTATTTATTTGATAGAGACACAGTGAGAGAGGGAACACAAGCAGGGGGAGTGGGAGAGGGAGAAGCAGGCTTCCCGCGGAGCAGGGAGACCGATGAGGGGCTCGATCCCAGGACCCTGGGATCATGACCTGAGCCGAAGGCGGATGCTTAACTGACTGAGCCACCCAGGTGCCCCCAAAAATGAAGTCTTTAAAAAAATATTAACAAGATATTAAAATAAAAAATATTAACATGATAAACTTACAACATTCATAATTTTAATACCCGGAAATAACCACTGGTAAATTGTTGGCGTTTTTTTTTTTATGTGATATAAAATCGGAATCCAGTTGTTTACCATAGTTTATCGTCTGTATCTTTCTTTCCCTTAGCATTTTTCACTTAACATTATATCTTAAGCATTTCTTGTCGTTAAACATCTTCAGAAACATAACTTTCAGTGTCATCACAATATTCAATATTATGTGTGTATCTCACACATTATTTAAACATTACCTTTTCCCCTTATTCTTAAACGTTTAGGTGGTTTTTGGCATTGCGATACAATGATAAAAAATACTGTAGTTTTTACATGAAATTGCCCCTGTATCTTCAGACACATTCTGGTAAAAATGTTTGAACTTTTTAAAGTGACTAACACTGTATTAATGAAGTGTGCTATCTCAGTGCTAATACTAATAAATTCCCATTTACTTAAGGGTAGGATTTTTTTTTTTTAACTATAAGACAGTTGTTCTATTAAATAGACTCCTATATATCTTACTTCTTAAACTTGACATACTATCATAGACACCTTTCTGTGTTACTACCTTCATGTTCGGTTTTCCTCATTTCTCTAAACTGCTGCAAACAGTTCATATATGAATGAGCCATAATTTGTAATTTGTTTAATCACCATTGACTAATGGATATTTGGCTTTCCCTCCCAGTTTCTTATGGGTATAAATATTGCTACAGTTAAAACTTATCTTTGTTCATTTGTGTAAATTTATAGAATTAGAATTGCTAGGTCAAAGGTTTTCTGCATTTTTAATTTTGACAAATATTGCCAGATTTCCCTTCACAACAAAAGTTTCGTGAATTTACATTTGTAGAGATAGTAAATGAGAGTTATTTTCCCATCTTCTCTGTAACGCTGGACCTACTCATCTCTTACAGTATGATAAATGATATATGGTGTTTTACTTTAATTTGCAATTTTTAAAATTTTGAATAATATTACTCATATTTTTGGCTGTTAGCCATTTGTCTCCTCTGGAATATATTATAAATATTTGCTGTCTTCAATAGAGATGCAATTAGGAGCAAATATTCTGGTTCTGTCTGACTTGATTTTTCAAAATTATTTACTTCATATGATCAAGTTTGGATCATCGTAAGTAAAAATGTTATACAACATACTATTTTCATGTTGTGTTTGCTTTTGCTCTTTTAAGTAGAGGTTTCTCTTTTAAGATTTTTCCATAGAAAAATAATTGTTTAATTTCAAATATATAGAATTTTATATCTGTTTATAGCATTATAAACAGAATTTTACATGTGTGGCATATGAATGAAAGAATCTGTTTTTAGTAATTCACTTATAGAGTTCTACACTAAGGTGTTTGAGTCTAAGGAATTATTCACTAGAACTACTGTGTATGATAATGAATATATTATTAACTCTAATATATGTAGTACTGTGGTAATGGATAATTTTTTTAATTCCAGTATAATTAACATTCAGTGTTCTATTAGTTGCAGGTGTACAATATAGTAATTCAGTAATTCTCTACATTACTCAGTGCTCATCATGATGAGTGTGCTCTTAATCCCCATTACCTATTTCAGCCATCCTCCCCATTCATCTCCCCTCCAAAAAACCATCAGTTTGTTCTCTATAGTTAAGAGTCTGTTTTTTGGTTTGTCTCTTTGTTTTTCCTTTGTTTTGTTTCTTAAATTCCACATATGAGTGAAATCATATGGTATTTGTCTTTCTCTGACTGACATTTCACTTAGCATTATAGTCTCTAGATCAGACATGTCATTGCAAACAGCAAGATTTCATTCTTTTTAAGACTGAATAACATTCCAACATGTGTGTAGATAGATAGATAGATAGATAGATAGATAGATAGATATATCACATCTTCTTTATCCATTCATTTATCGATGGATGGACAGTTTGTGCTTCCATAATAGAGGTATTGTAAATAATGTTGTAATAAACATAGGGGTGCATATATCTTTTCAAGTTAGTATTTTTATATTCTTTGGGTAAATACCCAGTAGTGGGATTACTGGATCATCTAGTAATTCTATTTGTAATTTTTTGAGGAACCTCTATACTGTTTTCCACAGTGGCTGCATCAGTTTGCATTCCCACCAAGAGTGCACGAGGGTTCCTTTTTCTCCACATCTTTGCCAACACTTGTTATTTCTTGTGTTTTGATTTTAGCCATTCTGATAGATGTGAGGCGATATCTCACTGTGGATTTGATTTGTATTTCCCTGATGATGAGTGATGTTGAGCATCTTTCCATGTTGTCTGTTGGCCATCTGGATGTCTTCTTTTCAGAAATGTCTGTTTGTGTCTTCTGCCTATGTTTTAATTGGATTGTTGTGTTTTGTGGTGTGTGTGTGTGTGTGTGTGTGTGTGTGTGTGTGTGTGTGTGTGTGTTGAATTATATAAGTTTTTTATATATTTTGGATACTAACCCTTTATTGGATATGTCATTTGCAAATATCTTCTCCCATTCAGTAGGTTGTCTTTCAGGGTTTTTTTTTATTTCCTTTACTGTGCAGAAGCTTTTTATTTTGATGTAGTCCCAATAGTTTATTTTTGCTTTCCCTCAGGAGACATATATAGAAAAATGTTGCTATGGCCAATGTCAAAGAAATTAGTAATGGGTAGTTTTCTTAAGACCTTACATACATTATCTCATTTGACCCCCATGCTAACCTTGAACCTTAAAATGTTGAATGGCATGCTTACAATTAAGATCACATTGTGGTTACATGAGTCTGTCTCACTCTACGCTCCTGCTTTTTCTTTTTCTTTTTCTTTTTAATAAATAAATCCACAATGAGAGGTCCCCTGCCATCATCATATAACCTCCTGTTCTTGATGCTATAACCAACTGAGAATGAGAAGCTCATCTTCTCCTGTTCTGTATATTATAATTATAACCACTTATATTTAAGTAGTGGTCTGTTCATTCATAAGTTTATTTCACATCCTTGAAATAATCATGTAAGTTAGGTAAGACCAAAAAATGTAGCTTTTATTTTCACCCAAGAAGAAAAACAATCTCAGGGAAATGATTTGTTTGAACTCGACAGTGAATTAACAAAGAGCCAGAATCAGAACTAGGGTTTAGAGTTTCAGATGTACCATGATCATCTGCTACTTGCCAAACCAAATGTATAGAATTTGATATATTAATAGACTCTACATAAATAAAGTTGACAATGAAACAGACAACAGAAGTACAGTCTTTTTCCATCTGCCTGACATTTTATAATTCTTCATTGTGAAACAGGCTTTAGGAATATCAGCCTATCCATTTGTGAGAGCCTGTCTCTTCCATGTATCTGAGACTATAATGGCTGTTTTAGTTCTCCTAGGCCAGAAATCTCTAGAAAAGACCATGAAATGAGAGTGATAAGAAACACACACACACACACCCATCCACTTTGACTCTACAAGTTAGAAATATTAAGGAGGTTTGAAGTACGTGGACAAGCTCCAAGACTGGCACATCTTTGGTGAGGAAAAAATTTTAATTAGGACTGCTTTCCATTTTAAATACAATAGAGTATATTGTTAGTATTGATAATATCATTCATATTTTGGTATCATATTTTATAAATTCACATTTTTTCAAAGATATGCATTTCTTAGTTAAGTTTATTGTACTTATTTCTAATGGAAAATCACCTTAACTTAAATGGACATCAGTAAGAAACCGGAATCACTTAATAAAGTTGCCTTCTAATAGGATTTGCAGGAATCCCTGTACATACTCACCTACATTCTCTATTTCCACATCTGGGAACATTACTGAGTATGTTTTGTAATCTTTGTATGGCGCAAATACCTATTTTTTCCAAAGTGTACATCCAAAGTTATTATCACTGGGAGGTGGTGACACATTGTTTACCCATCAGTAAGATTTTCACTTTGAGTTTTTCTTATGGTGGTGATGAATTGCCAATCTTTCAAAAATCTTTTTTATTTAGTTCTGGTCCCATCGGTGAGAGTAATAGAACCAGAAGACTCACCTATGACAATAAAATGGTTTTTCCTGGTAAAGACCTGTCCGGATCTGATCAGAATCTAACCAAAACTCACCAAGGGGTACCTCTTTACCACCCTGTTTAAATGAGTTGAGCCAACTGCTTTCAGTAATGAAATTATTCCTTGGCAAGTTGTGTGGTACACCAGCCTTTTAGACCCTCTGACCTAACTTCTTTTAGGAGGAAAAGTAGGTTGAACTCTCATCCTGGTCACTAATATTGGCTGCATATGTGTCTTCTCTCTTGAAACAGCTCAATGGTTATTCGGGACTTAACCTTACGCAGCGCCGCCAGCTTTGGCTCCTTCCACCTGATCCGTCTGCTCTACGATGAGTATATGTTCTACTTAGTAGAACATCGTGTTGCTCAGGCAACGGGAGAGACACCCATAGCGGTCATGGGCGAGGTAAGAGAAGCCAAAAGAGCTGTGACTCACGGGGCTTTGAAAAAAGAACCTGAATTTCATTTTAATTTAAATATATTGTTTATTGATTAAAGCAATGGTTCCTAACCATTGAAGACCCTGATGGGCTGTGGAGTTACTACAGGGGGTCCCTAAATCCCTCTGCTTATATGTATTCTCTTAATTAAAATATTCTAAAATTATAAATTACATCATGTGAAAATTCTTGGCATGTTCCAATATATTATAAAGGTGTCTACTTGAAAGAAAAGTTTGAGCATCCCCAGACTGGAAAAACCCTTATTGAACGGAAAGTAAGAAAGACTATGTCGCTGATAAGGCGAAGGGCCAGGACTACAGAGGAGAGAGTTAAATACGTATTTTTATAGACTCTTTGTCCAAGTGCCCAGGACCAAAAGAAATGATTCTATTTCAGAAGGATAGTAACAATGGTGATGGTGCCGAGAGCTAACGTTTTGGGGGCACTTACTATGTGCCAGGCACAGCTCGAAGCCCTTTCTATGTAACAAAGCACTGGACGCTTTCTGAGACAGGTACAACTCTACCCTGTTTTACAGATGAATATCTGAGGTTGATGTAGAAAGCTGAGGACACAGATGAAATGTTTACATAGCTCTGACGGTTGGTAGGGACCTGTTTCAAGTACTCAGACTCTGATTCTCAAATCAGGCTTCTCATTGCTGAAGATATGAAGAAGAAAACATTCTCGTCACAATTTTTAGATAGAAAATAAAACTGTCTTGTTTTCAATGCGTGTCAGAAAGCTAACACTCTGACGTAAATTTACACAAGGAGTGGTTAATATGATGAGGAATAGATGCAGATGCCCAAGTGAATCCTCTGCAGCTCATCTTGTTGTCCTGAATTGGGGGTCATTCATGATCTTGCTAGATTATACCAAATCAGGCAATATTACAAATTACCCAAAGCAGTAAAGAAGACAGGTTCATTTTGAAGCTGTGGGTATGTGCTTATTTAAATGTAAAAAGTCAAAGTAAATATTAGATGCTTTTCCTAGTTTAATAAATATGATAATAAAGGTATAAATTAAAAATATTAAAATACCTCAAGCAGCTTTATGAGTATTCTAATATAAAGAAAATCCACGTCAAACTTCTTCAGTAGGTTGGGCAAAAGATTCCTTTTTCCCTCTTTTTTAAAATCCCTCGCTGTGTGCTGATCTGTTTGTGTTTGTCTGACGTTCCTTACTAGTGATTGTGCTTGAATCATGCCAGTTATATATACATGTATTATATGTGCAAGATGAAGCAAGGATCACTGTAGCTTTTAGACAATAGGCAGGACCGAAACAATCTGGACTTTTCTTAGATTTGACCTTCCTTTAGTGCCTCTTGCAGTGGTTGTCTTACCAATGCCTGGCTGCAAAATGCCCAGTTGGCATGTAGATTAAGTACTGCAATACTGCAAAACTTCTCAAGTCAGGACTCCCAACTTCTGAAACAGACATGCCTTTTGGTATATTTAACCCATTTGCCAAGCACCTCGTACATTCTGGGACGTCTTTAACAAGATCATCAGCATAATGATAACAGGGATTCTAATGAACACCATGTGGCTAATCCTGATGTGTGGTCATGGCTTCCCTTGCATCTTGAGGGAACAGAGGCAGAGGGCAGGAGCCAGTCACACAGCATGAGGGTTCAGCAAGCCCCTCATATGCTGGTGTGGACAGTGCTGGCTCACCAGGGTTAAGATGGTCTCATATAGTCAATACTGCCGATTAACCATGCCCATAGGCATTCTTTTGTTTTGTATTTGTTTTTTAAAGATTTTATTTATTTGACAGAGACACAGTGGGAGAGGGAACACAAGCAGGGGGAGAGGGAGAGGGAGAAGCAGGCCTCCCACAGAGCAAGGAGCCCGACTCGGGGCCCGATCCCAAGACCCTAGGATCACGACTTGAGCCAAAGGCAGACACTCAATGACTGAGCCACCCAGGCATCCCTGTATTTTTTTTTTTTTTTTTTACTTTATGTAGACAATGTATATGAGTAGGACACATTCCCATGGGGGTAAAGATATGATAGAAATAAAATCTAGATCAGAAAATAGGTATAAAATACCTTCTGTAAGATTAAAGATCTAAGCATGCCTCTTGATTTCTTTGCTTACTCTCTCCTTACCCAATTTATAGGGCAATCCTTTGAGCTGTCTCTACTCATCGATTATGCAGCCCATGCCAATCAAGGCTAATTTTATAGGTTTGTTCTCCCCATCAACAACGTTGATGGCCTCATATATCTGTTGGCCATTGTAGACCTGGAGGTGGTGGTCATATTATCGTATCTAAAATTTCTTGATTCTTGGGAAAAGGAAATTCAGGAAAACAGAAGGCTGTTTTCTCATGTGTTGCTCCCGTGTTATCCTACACGTACCCTAGAAATCAGATTGGAGGTAAGAAAGGCTTTTGCATTTTGAGGCTCCGTTGCCTCCACCCCTTAGGTGATCCCGCCCTTCCAAACACCAAGTCCAGAAGTGCCCGTGCACATGGTGGAGCGACCGCTCAGGCCCAAATCCACTGAAATCTGTAAAAGTCATCATTACCCTCAGTTGGAGCAACTGGTTTTCAATCATCAGTAACAATAGCAAACAAACACAATAATAGTTCTCACTCTTTATTGAGAGCTTGTTATATTCATTAAGTATGAAATCAAACTCTTGATCTGTCTACTAATGGCTCTTTCTCAGTAAACGGTACCACAATTATCTCTGTTGGTCGTCCTGGGCACATGAGCATCATCTTTTACATGTCTTTCTGTCTTGACCCCGATGTCCCCCCAATTACTAAGTCTGCTCGTTCCCAAACCTCCCAGAGTGCAGTCAGTATCATCTTATGAAAGTGCAGAGTTGGTTATGTTATCTCTACTTAAAAACCCATCCGTGATATTCTCTCCTGTTGGTGAAGGAACAAAATTCTTTCTTTGGTACATGAGGTCACGCTCCATCTGGCCCCGCCCCTCACATTAACCTCAGCCTCCGTCTTCCTATTCCATTTGCTGCAATCACAGTGGTCTTTTCTCTGTTCTTATTCACCAAGCTTTGCTTATCATTGGACCACTGTGTAAATGGTTGTTTCTAGCAGGAACTTTTCTGCCCAACTCCCTTTGCTCATTCTAACTCCTACTTCACGTCTTAAATATCAGCTCCTCAGGGGGCCCCAGTTCCTCCAAACTACCTTAGATACATCCACATTCTCTCTGATCTGCACTTTTACTTTTCATTCTAGAACCTGCACTATACTAATCATGTGGTTCTTTGTATGATACGTATAAGTAAAGATTTAATGCCCTGGAAATAATAGAGGATTCGAGTCAGGAGAATTCAATTCTCCTGATAGTTCTGTCATTTATAGCGGTATAATCTTGTTCACTGATGTTGAGTCTCAGACTTATCTCTGAAATTAATTTATTCATTTATATAACTGGTATTTCTTACACATCTAATGTAGACCAAATGCTATAATAATTAGGTTAGAGTGATGAACCGAATGGATCTTGACCCTGCATTCAAGAAGCTTGCATTTTAGTAGAGGACTCATATGTACTAAATATTCACGTAGCTGTGGAGCTACAAAATCTGAGAAATAGGAATACTCTAAGCATGAGGCCTTAAGCTAGCCTGGGAGGGTCAGGGGAGGTTCCCCCCAGCAGGGATGTTTGAAATGAGATGGAAAGGGCAAAAGGAGTTAATTATATGAATTGTGAGAATTTGGGGGTGAGGGGGGCATGGAGACATGCACGCAGGTCCTGCCTACAATGGAAGGGAGCATGGCCAAGGGGAAGTTTCCATAGAAAATCTGAGGGTCAAGCACCAGAGAGACCAAATACGCACCATCAAATTCAGTAGACAGGGGATAGAAATGGATGAGGAAAGAAAGCCAAAAACTTCAAGTGAAGCCTACATTCACATACCACTCAAGTGCCCGGCACTATTCTGAGTGCTTTATGTATATTAACTTAACAATTCATAACAACCCTATGAATGAATTCTATTATCCCTGTGTAAAATAATATATATTTTTCAGATGGTGACATGAGACACAGTGCCATAAAGTAGCTCGCTAAGGTCACACAGCCGCTAAAGTTATGAAATCAGGCTCCAAAACCAAGCAGACTGGCCCCAAAGTTCTTACTGTTAATCCACCATGCTTATCACCGGCTACAGGATGGGGGGCTAGGAGCAAAAACTGTTGGGAAGTCAGACACAAACTTGGCCAGACATTGGTTTTGCCTTATGGGCGCTTTATTTGGGAGAGGTGGCAGACCGCCAACCAGATGCAGAAGCGAGGGGAAAGGTTTTCCTTTTTAAAGTGACTTAGGGACAGTTAGTGTATCTTCATTAATTAGAAATCAACACACAAATTTTAATTTTACTATTGTAAAATTTATATTATTTGAGCAGGCGGGAGAGACCAGTCCATGTTCTACATATAAACACAGTATGCAAGTGTACAAAACTACTATTTTTGCATTCCCTGTTGCACTACAATATCAGTTGTTGGCATGAAGACCACCATGTAACAGCGCCCCCAAAAGAAACAGAAACAGCATCGCACCCCGACACGTTTTCTTCTAAATGTCAGTCGGCTGCCACAGTAATGCTGACTAGTAAGTTATTTAAAGCACATGCAATTTCAGAGTTTCGTGATTATATTTTTTGCCTGGATGATAAAAAGGAAACAGAATTTATTTGCTGCTAAAATTATGCAATTTTTTGAACTTTAATATTATAAATACACCCAAAGACTCTCTGGGAGTGGGGAAATTTTAAGAGTAGGAATAAAACAAACAAGTTGCATCTGTTTGCACACCTGTTAAGTAATAATTTTTAAAAATCAGGGCTTTCTGTGCAGCCCTGACAAGAAAAATTGAGCAGGAAACTATCCTATTATTTGAATTTTATGAATTCAATTTGGAATCTCTTTGGATGTTTATTTCCTTAAAATATACGTAGTCCGTTAA